TCTGCCACCACACCATGTGACAGAGACATTCTTACCCCGCCCCATCACCCTTGTTGATACGTTCAACTATTTCAGTTTCATCAGAAAACCTGTGTATTGCACACACTTTGTTTACATTTACATACAGACATATTTTCATTTTTGGGATTCAAGATACCTGTTGAATCTAGAACTTTTGGTTCTGTGCAAACTGCATTGTCATTGTGTCTTTTCATTAGTTTTCATAAAATATAATGGAAGTAAATGTAACTCTTCTATATGCTCATAAAAGCACTGTTTTTTTTTTAAATTACAAGTGATAAATGCTTATTCAATGAGATAAAAAGGGTGTTGTGAAAAAGATATATATACTGTATAATATTAGCAATGCATTAATAATTGTTTCATTATGGAATCGCAGATTCCCACCCCTCACCCGTCACATGTCCACTGGTCAGTAATGTGAGTCTAAAAACCAGCAGCTGCGTGTTGTGTTGCTGCCTCCTGTGGTTAGTTTGGGTTACTAAGAAAACTCCAAGGAACATTGAAGTCACTTACATTTTTGAACTTGGTGCTCAGGGCAAAAGAACTGCTGTGTCCCACTGATGTCCCAGTTGTCATTGATTTTTAATGTGTCCTTATTCAAAGCCTTTTTATCAGTCAAGGTGAGCTTGAGTTTGTAGGTTAGTCAAGTGCCCTGCCGAGTGGTGTCTAACAAGTTGTATGGCACCTTGACCAGTAACACATCAAACACCCAAACCATCCCCCTTTAGTATTACCTCTGCCCCCAGGAGCTTTGTTCCAGGTTGCGTTGCTTTGAGTACATTTACCCATAGGAACCTTTTCCACTGGGAAGGTCAACCTTATAAGTAAAACATTTAACATCCAAAATGTCTTTTTCACAGAACTACCCGCCATGGAGTCATGTGCGCAGTAGACACAATATGGATGTGACTCCTGTTGTGTGTTATGTTTCATTTTGCCCTGATGAGGTCAGGGGTAACGCTAATGTGGAGGCCAGCAGAGCTGAGCATGGCTGGGGACAGAGTTAATGCAGCAGGCGATGAGAGTTAAACATCATGTTATACAGGCAGAAGGGGGGAAGAAGTGGGGGATGCTGTTAACTGAAAATGATCCTGATCATTCACTGTAGCCTCCACAGGATCAGGATGTCTTTTAGATGAATGAGGTTTCATGTGTTTAGAGGAGCTCAGTGTCCATAGAACTGTCCATTAAAATGTGAAAAAGTGATATGAACATGATAGTTAATGATGTTGACTGACTCCTTATAAAGGGTTTTTGTGTGTCTTAATTATTTCTTATTGCTTGGTTAAAATGCTAAAAAAAAATAACATAGCTATGGTAATCATACCTTACAAGTTTAACTTTTAGAAACCTTTCTTGACAAACAAACAAAAAGCTTATATAAAACCATGTTGGTTTTCTCTCTCTCTCTGTCTCTCTCTCTCTCAGCTTCAGTCCTTTTTGCAGGTCAGTGTTTCCCATGTCCAGGTGGATGAGTGCCCAAGCTCTGAGTGCTCTGGTTCCGGAGGCTGCAGTACGGTGTTGAACGTGCGCGACACGCCCACAGTGGTGGATTGTGGGTCGATGAGTCTGGTATCCATCACTGTTGAGTCTACAGCTGTCTGTTCTTGCACGGGTCGAGAACAATCACATCAGTCTTGTGCATCGTATCCCAGAAACCCCTGCTTCAATGGCGGAGTGTGTGTGGACACACAGCACGGATACAGGTAGGAGGGAAATTAACCTGACATTCCTGGCTACAGTTTACAGGTTCAGTCTTAACCATTAGTTTTTTCATAAGTACATGTGGTCATGTGATCCTGCTGATGAAAATTAGATGCAGCTAAACATTGGCTCTGTATAGGTTTTATTGATCACAAAATTAACTGTCTGTGTGTAAGGGGTGCTCATACATATTCTCTAAGTTCTCTAAGTTCTGTAAAAGAAGTAATTTGTAAAGATTTCCAATATTTTTTAACAGCATACAAACTAAGAATGGCTCGATCTGATGGTAATATAAATATAATATAAATAATATATATATTATGTTGAGACTGGACATAAAAAAAAAACAAAAAAAAACATCCCATACCTAAGCCTAAATGCTTAACTTATTTTTGCGCAACATGTCAGCATTCTGGAGGAGAAAATAAGGTATCGGCTTGATATAGGAATGGGTAGAGTTTTTGTAAAGTTTTTGTATTGGTAGTTGTATCTGAAGTAAGAAGAAAAGTTATATTGAGCCATCCCTAATATAAACATTGAGGTGAAAATGAGGTAAGTATTCAAACTAGCCAACTATTCGAACTATTTGAGCTCTAGTGACAGAAGAGCTGCTGGTCCACTACTGCCTCCAGTGGTTAGTTTATGGCACTCCGGTAAATCACCTCTTTTTTCAAAATGTAATTAAACCAGGTCAATTCCTTAAAAATATGAGCAAACATTTTTCACAAAAAAAAAAAATACAGTGGGGCTTCGAGATACGAGCTCTCCGAAATAAGAGTTTTCCAAGTTACGAGTAAGCAACTTCCCCTCGTGATACGAGGAAAACATCTAGTTATGAGTGCTCAACCGAGCTGTTGGTGATGCTGACGATGACGATAGTAGCGATGTTAATGATGTAGCAGTAATGATCACTCATTACTGCTACATCATCAACATCGTGACTGTCGTTAAGATTAACATTTGGTGTTTAATAAAATAAAATAAAAAAATAAATAAAAAAGGCAGTCCCATTTTTATAACAGTAATATAAATAATATATATATTATGTATTAGTATATTATAATATAATTATGTTTTCTTAATTATTATTCTATAATATCAAACTATATGTTTATATCTATGTTTTTGATGGTTAGATGGGGAATTTAAATTTAATTAATTAATAGTATATTTCTGGCATACAAGTGGAACGGATTAAACTCGTATTTAGTGCTCCCACTGTAATGTTTTCGTTATTCTACTGCTAATGATTATAGTTGGGACGCGACTCAAATGAAGATGCTGATTTAAATATGTATATGCTAAAAAAAAAAAAAAATATTAAATACAGCAAAATGCTCTAATAATCCCATGAAGCCCAGCTCCTAATTTAAACTCCCAGCCCTATTCACAGACACTTCTGCTCATTAACAGCCGTGTGTAAAGCTTTTCAGCCAGGGCTGTAGATGAGCTGGAATTAAAAAGCCGTTTGCATTTAATATTTTTTATTCATGCTGGAGGGAAAGTGAGGCTCCAGTTACAGCTGTGAACAGCTGCTGAGCCTCTGAAACACATCCTCATCAGTGAGGGCTTTTAAATGTAAATGTTAATGTGCTGGAAGCTACAGTCAGATAGAGAGAGGTCACATTAGGAGGGTTGGAGTTGATTTAATTAACACTTGTGTTAATTAAAGGATAATGTGCTGGGAGTCAGGCATTTTTATTGTTGAACACAGACACGAACAAAAACCGTAGGCTGAGATCACGTGGAGAATCTGACAGTACGAAAACCTCCAAAAATGGGAACGATGTCAGTGTAAAGGGCAAGTGCCCTTGAATTGAATTAGGTCTCGACTGGAAAAATTGTGAATTATTGTCGCACCGTGTCATATTAATGAAAATAACAAAAATCTAATGGACCGCATTTTACACAGGCTTGTTTAAATCCTTGTCATTTCTGAAATTAGAAACGCTCTTCTGGTCTTCCCTTATGTACTATTGCGTTGTAATTTTTTTTTTACAGATTTGATTCACTTGAAAATTCCCCCCTCCCTGTTTTCTTTTGCATTTTGTACACACCCAGCATCCCTTTGTTTTTGTTTTTTTTTTACAGATTTGATTCACTTTACTGGCGTAAACGTGAAAATTCCTCCTCCCTTATTTAAACCTCCCTGTTGTCCTTTGCATTTTGTACACACCCAGCGTCCCCGCAACGGGTTTGCATCTTGTCCCAGAAAAAGAGTAAGGCCAGGCATACACTGTACGATTTTTGAAAAACTTGTCGTTGATACTATCACACCCTGTACGAGTAATCATCTCACGATTTATGTACTCACACTGTACGGTCTGATCATCGAACACGACCAGAGAGCTCACACTGTGCGGGTGAAAACGGCCCGTCGCCCCCTGCTGACTGTCCTGTGTATTGACAGCTGTCGATAAAGATTTATGTGAAAGCTCCGATGCCGGTTATAAGCAACATGCTAGACAAAAAGAAGAAGGCTGCCCTATTGATTGCTGCGCTACTGTGCGCTGAAAGTTCTAAAAAAAAGAGGCGCCAGCAAATCTGGACTCGGAGATGGCTCAGCAAATGAAAGGCAGGAATTGGACGAGTCTACTTTTATCTTGATAACAAACGCTACGCTAGAATTACAGTTATCTCCGTTTTGACCGTTACAAGTCACTAACAACAGTTTTAATCAGGGTACAACGTTAACTTTTTTGTCCTCCAGTTAGTGGCCAGTAAATGTTCACGTTTTACCAGCTACAGCTACGTAGGCGCACTGAGGGAGAAATGCTCGGCCTGGGGCTCTGCTTCCACTGTGCGAAAGAAATTGTCGGCTGATCAAAATTGTCAGAAAAAATTCTTCCGACCCTCCAACGGTAGTTCGGGAACAGATAATTGGTCCTCATTACCCCCTGTACACTGTACTGAAAAAGACGCCCGACAAACATGAAATTGGGCCGAGCGTTGCCAGGTCGTGCGTCTCAAAAATCGGGTCAAAAAGGGGCTAAAATTGCACAGTGTATGCCCTGCCTAAAGGTTGGCACAAGCAATGAAGTACAGGAGTATGCACAAACACACACACACACACACACACGCACGCAAAGGAATATTATCAGCCACCGGGTCACCTAGACCCAAAGGACAACATGAAGATTAAAGTAGCTAGGCATGTTTCTTGCAGTATAATCTTCATGGTGCGAGGCACTATTAGGTTCATTAGGATCGAATGTTTCTACTATAAAAAAGTCTGGCGTGTGGATCCTTTAGTCTCTTATCTGTGCATCTCGAGATTTCCTCTTGATGTTGTGAAAATAGAATAAAAACCTTTATTTAGCCTCGTTTGGAGGGGGGGAAAAAAATCTAGGCTGTGTTAACTGTCAAGTTTTCTGTCAGCTACTATTTAAAATCCCAGGCAGAGAAAGAACGTCGTCGTTAACATAAAATTCTTTCTGTAAACAAGGCCAAAGGTTGAGCAAGAGCGTGTCCACAAATCCTTTTAAGTGTGAAGATGATGATGAAATAAATGGTTTGGAGTTTTTTTTTTCCCTGACAGAGGAGACGTTGTGACCCTCTTTAACTCAGTAACGAAGCCTTTCCACTGGCTCAGATCTTCAGCAGAGCGACTGAAGGCCTCTTTGCAACCAATTAAATTAAAAGACAAGCTTTTATCACCGTCTCAGCTGAAAATATGCTGCCGGAATTGAACATTGTGATGAAATAAAGGCCCCGCTTCTTTAGTCTTCACAACGTAATGAGAAGGAAAGTAAAAAAAAAAAAAAAGAAATCTCTCAATTCTTTGTACGTGGTTAAATAATTTGGTCGAGTACTGAAGGTAATTGGGCTCAGCAAGTCTGTGATGTGATTTTTAAAACTGTCTTTATAATATCTAAATGTTTTTAGGCTTTTACTTTTCAGAAGAAAATGAAAGGAAGTAAGAGCAAGGATTATTTTTGTTTCTTGTTTTTTATTTCATTGTGATTACTAGTCCTTAAAGTTCATGTACTGACTGAATGTATGTTTGACAAAATATATCTTAGAAAAAGGAAATTCACGACAAGCAGAGGTGGAAAAAGTACTAAAAGAATGTAATTAGGTAACTTGCTTAAATTCTACTTAAGTAGAAGTAAAAGTACCATCTAAAAATCTACTTGAGTGAAAGTAAAAAGAGAACTTGATTTAAAAGTTACTTTGAGTAAAAGTTACTTAGTTACTTTAAATTACTTGATTCAAAAAAAGGATGAGTCATACGGCCGATCTGCATCACATGACAAAGTTATTGCTGCATTCGCATTTGAAAACAAAGATTTGGCTGAGATACGGCTAATGCTCCTGTGAAGCAGATGAATCAGAAAAACAAGGAAATCTCCTTCTCTTTCTGAGTCATCTGCTCCACAGGAGCTTTTTTTTTGTTTGGCACCGGCCATCATCCACTGACAGGTTAGAGTATGTCTCTTAGTCAACGTTCTCTGGCTACATTAAAATAATGGGAATAGTGCACGCCCATGCAATTTTCTTTCAGTTAGCGCAGATTTCATTGTTTACTCAGAACGGGTTCTTTTCCAATGTAGCGAAGTAAAATTGAGTCAAAATGTAATGTAGTAAAAGTAAAATGATCTATTCCTGAAACTACTTACTGACAAAAACTACTCAGTTAAGTAAATGTAAATCATTGCTTTCTAGCTCTGATGATAAGACGCTCCTTAACAATGTCATGAAAATTGAACAAATCATGTAAAGCGGCCAAATGTAATCCAAGTCTTGAAACCAATAGAAGACTATTTAACCAGAGGCGACCAAATTCTGGCCTTTAAGGTCCTTGAAACAAACTAACAGACTAAGCTGGGTCCATATACATTCTGCTTATAAATAGAACAGATGTCACAGAGAAGAGAGACAAGTGAATTTACACATCGAATGAATACAAACGCATTTAGTTTCATTAGCATATAAATGACAGTAGCTGTAACTCCTGCGGTAGTTTTACAGGTCACATTGAGTGCTCCATGTACTGTAAACCAGAGTGCACTTTTGGTGCACACATCTCCTCTGCTTCTGCTGCTGTTTTCTTTACGAGTTCATTCTCCCGCTCAATTTTCTTTAACTGGAATCACTGAGTAAAAAGAACTTGGCTGAGAAAGTAGTCAGTGGATCACTGGATGGATGGATGGATAGATGGATGGATAGATAGATGGATGGATAGATGGATGGATGGATAGATGGATAGATAGATGGCTGGATAGATAGATAGGACTAATAAATAAGAATGTTGAAATGCAGCTAATTGTAAGAAATATAATACATATTAGTAAAGAATATTAAGAAATATGTTAAGTGTAGCATAAAAATATCCTGAAAAAACAAGATTCCAAATTCAGAATAAATGTTTTAAAATTCCTAAAATATAGCGTAAACTAGACTAGATCTAGTCTAGTCTCTATTCTTCAGGGATCAACAAGAACATTTTAAAGCTGATACAATTTACACTTTAGTGCACATTGTTCAGTATGTAGAAGTAAATATTTGTTTGCGAATAGATATTTCTATGAAAAAAAAATTAGACTATGTATAGTAGTTTATAATTTGAGTTAATAAAATAGACCGCTACATATTAAAATCCATATTTGCAGCGTACTGTAGCAATACACAGTAAAGAGTGCAGAAAGAAATGTTAAACATTAAATTGTGTGTCTGATGAATTGGTTTATTAGATACTAGAAATTAGATATTGATCAGAGTTATTTGATTGCTTGGATAGTTGAACAGACTTAGCTGTAGAGATAGCTGATGCTCATGGACTATAGTTTCAATTTTTTAATGGTAAATTTGCCAACATTTAATCAAATAAATAAATAAAAACCTCGTTCCCTTGCAAGAGTTTAAATTCAGTTGAATTTAAAAAGCTAGATATTGGCCAAAAAGTATATACTGTATACCTAAAAGCTTCTAAAAAAAAAAAAAAAAAAAGAAACACACATAAATCCACACTGGGCTGGAAGTTTACCATTGATATAAAGTATACATTTAAAGTTTGTTTATTCATAGAAATTAACTTTAGCTCAGAACTATCGCTCAAAAATGTTACCACTAGAAAGTGATTGCCCAACCACAGTTTTCTTACTGAAATGTCTATTTTTACACTGAAATCCTTTAAACTGTCAATCACGTTGTCAACAGTTTTGAGTGAGGGATGAAGAAGCTTCACAAAAATCATAAATTAGTCAGTATTTCTGCAGATCTCGTGAAAACAACAAAAGAAAGTGTTTTTGACATTTTTCGTTTTTTCAACACTCTTCTGTCAGTCTGTGTTTTATTAGCCGCCAACGAATGACTCTAACTTCTTCTGTCAACTGGCTGAAGATTGATTTGAATAAAGTGTATGATTTTTAAAATTTGAAAGTTCAGTCATTTCTAGCCCCAGAGAACCTACATACTGTACATTAGTACCTGTGTCACTTACCTATGCAGTCGTAACATCATTGTCTAGGACAGGCATGGGCAAACTAAGGCCCGGGGGCCGGATGCGGCCCATTCATCTTTTTAATCCGGCCCACCAAACTTTTCCAAATTATATAATTTATTTTTATATTATCATTACACGTCTGCCTTTTCCCTGCAATGTCCATGTTTCCCCAATAAATGGCGTTAATACTGATAAAAGCACTTTGGCATTTTAGCCTTTATGCATGACTTAATACTGATAAAAGCATTTTGACATTTTAGCCTTTATGCATGACTTTTACGTGTCATTTATCGGTCTATCTATCTGGACTTGGGTCTGGAAGTTTTCAGGTTCGAGTCCACTAAGTTACCACTAAGGGTGTAAAAACATTTCCGTCTCCAAAGGGGGGGCATGACAGAAAATAATTGAGTACCACTGGCCTATACCAAAATTATTCCAATACTTTCTTTTCTCCTCCAGCATGCCACATGTTGCAATTGTTCGCGCAAATAAGTTGAGCATTCAGGCTTCGGTATCGGATCAGACGAGATTTTATTCTATGTTCGATCCTAAAGTTTTGATCAATATCAGATCGAGCCAACTTAATAAATAGGAATGAATTGACTAGCTAGTTTTGCTATTGTTGAGTAAAAGACAACAGCATATTTTCCCTCAGGATAAAAACTAGAAAAACTTTTCCTCTTATTTGAATCATTTGAATATAAAATATACCTCCTTTGACACTGAGGTATGAGGTAATGTTCAGTTTTTACAGTGTTTAAATGATGAAGTGCTCAGGGAAAACATTATTCTTCTTCTTAACAAAAATTAAAAAAAAAAAGCCAGAATCAAGTAGTGGCAGAGGAATGATTTATTTCTAAGGAGAAAAGAGGCTGCAGAAAGTCAGAAAAAGAGTAAAGCAGGTGAAGATGTCAAGCTGTAGAAACACAGACACTGCTGTCTGAATGTCACACATTTGGAAAAACATCGGTTCTTCATCTCTGTGACTTTTTTTTTTTCCGAAATCAGTACAGAGTAGAGGGAGGAGAGAAACGAGGATGTCAGTACAGAGGAGAGGGAGGAGAGAAACGAGGATGTCAGTTAAGAGGGAAGAGACTGAGTTTGAAGAAGAGATGCTACAGGAATTAAAATCAGGACGCTGAGGAAATCAGGGTAGACTCAAGTCAAAATTCACAGTCAAAGTAGAAACACCTTTGATAAGAGGTATATGAATGAAAAATAGTTCCTTCAAAAGGAACAATGCGTTGTGAATTGATTAAAAATTGATACAAAGGCATGACAATTTGCATTGTTTGAAGTAAAAAAAAACAACCTCAAATTGTATCTTGAGTTGAGTATTTTGTTACATCCCTAGACTTCAGTGTTTGTACGGTTGGCTTTTACAAGTGAAGCTGGGACCTAGTTCAGTTTCTTCTGCTTAAAAACTTTTTTAAAAAAAAAAAAGCCTGGACAATGTCTGCTGTTGTGTCCACCTGGACTTTCATAGAACTGAACTTCTAGGTTTGGGTTTCAGGAAGTTGTTGTTCAACACCTGGATGTTGATGTAGTTTGAGCCATGTGGACCCATGAGGGTCAGCTGAAAATGAAGCTGAAAACATGAATAAACGTGACCGGAATGGACATATTGGAAGGACACGCTTCACTTAACTGAAACAGTGATCGTTTTTGTAGGATATTATTCATTGTCTTTGTTTTTATTTTTCACCCATGTCCCATATAAGCCTATGTATTATTATTATTATTATTATTATTATTATTATTATTAAGGAAAATAACTCGTAACTTTTGTAACTGTATGCATTACAATGCAACCTCACCATAGACCATACATGTTATTTTAACTCTCATACACTGTAGGTAAGGGAGTTCAGAGCTCAGTGCTGCCTCATATGGTCAGTTTTTAGTCTTCAGTTATTATATGTATCTTTTGAAAATGAACACAAAACGAACTAGTAACCTGTTAATGTCTTTAAATCTGTTTATAGGTGTCACTGTCCGGCTCAGTTTGAAGGACCCGAGTGTCAGCAGAACAGACGCAGTTTCCATGGTAGCGGTTACGCTTGGTTCCCTCCTATGATCCCTTGCTTCGAGAGCCATATATCACTGGAGTTCATCACAGATGTCCCTGATGGACTGCTGCTTTACAGTGGGCCATTAGCTCAGCTACAGACCTGGGACCACGAGGACTTCATGGCCATAGGTAGGACAAAGACTTAACTTTTCCCATCAAACTCTGTCTGCATGAGTGAAAACTGAATATAGTCTTTTGTACAAATAATTTGACAAGTTAAGTCTGCTGAAATTCATCATCCTTGGTCATTCTGTCTATGTTCTTTTATATCAAATAATTTAAGATGTCCAATAACATTTGTCCGATATAGTCCGATTATTTTTTTCAATTGTTTCTTTCTTCTGATAATGAAAACCAAATTAAATCATGCTTGGAAAATGTGGGAACGAAGTTTATAGGATGTTTACCGCCATGTGATTGATGACCCCATCAAAAAGTGCCATGAGGCATAACAATAAGTGGCTAGTAGCTACCTGTGGCTAACAAGCTTGCCTGCTCATAGCGATTTGCAGTTATTTAATGTGTTATTTATGACACAAGGGAGCTGTGTTGCCCATCCCTGAGCTAGCATTTGAACTTTATTATCCATTAAAACCAGGCCGAGGTGTTTTTTCATTCATTCAATAATGCCAACAACTAGTTTATAGAGCGTTAATGCTGTTTTTTAAAAATATCACTTATTTTTTTATAGTCTCACTGGCTTTTATTTTGGAATTATTTTATTTTGTTTCTCATGGGGCATCTTTGACTAAGTAGCACTAACAAGTGACACCGGTGTAAAAACCGGCATTAGCTGTTAGCACCGCTGATCGCTAACACCAGCATCACCATTTTAAATACCAGAATTAGCTGTTAGTAGTGCAGAGCACTAACATTACCTCAACCGATGTATACACCGGCATTAGCTGTTAGCACTGGGGAACGCTAACACCAGCATCACAGGGTTTAAACACCGGCATTAGCTGTTAGTAATGTGGAGCACTAACATTACCTCAACCGATATATATACCGGCATTAGGTGTTAGCGAAGGATTGCTGTGAAGGTTGAAGTATTCCATTAGGCAACTGGACATGAAATTTTCTCAAAAAATACTCTCCCAAGAGGTTTCTTCAGTTCTGAAAATGTTTTTTTAAATGTAACAAACATTGGCTAGCCCTATTTAAAACTTTTTTTTTCTTTTCTTTTTCTGGTTACCGAAAGTTGTACTTCTTCCTCTCTGCTTTGCTTTACCAACCTTGATTTAACAAAGACCCATCTGCAGTTCACGTCTGGTAACAGACTTGAACATCGCATATCAACACAGAATCAAGACGTCTTTCCTTAATACACGTTGGTTCCAGTATAGTACTCCTGCCTTGCAAGCAGAGAGTTCTGGATTTGATTCCCTGAGGAACCACGTGCTTGGTGCTTCCAGGGGCAGCTTGTTCCAAATGAGCTGGTAACGCAATCATTTCTCTAGTGTGAGATCAATAAAGTTTTAATTATTTTGAATGAATTATGAATTATATTGTATTACATTTAATACCACCAATTTAATCTCTCACCTCTGGAAAAATCACTCTGAGGCACAAAAAGGCAATTTTTTCTTTCTTTCTTTTCACTTCACCTTCTTCCTAAAGTGTGTCATCGTTACTACATAGAAATAGGTGGCATATTTCTATGGTTGCATTTTGCAGTTTACGTGCACTTTACATTTACCAGCCACACTTTCTTTAATTCACATTTCTAAATGAATACAATTAGGTTTTAGAATGGTGTTTGAAAGAAATTTAAAAAAAAATAGAATTTTATGAATTCTTTAATTATGGAAACAACATTTATGGTATATATTGGTTTAGTAACCATATGGGTTACAGTAATAAAAGAAAATCGCTACAGGGGTGTAGATCATCATTCTGGTGTTGTAAAATAAAATATCGCGACATATCAGCATATCGATATTTTCTTACACCTCTCTAGTCAAGTCTTCAATGGTGAAGTTGAGTCTCAATTCTTCAGGGATTTGGGGGAGATCCTGATCATACCCAACACAGTCAAATTCTCTAAAGTAATTTGGGCAGTCTGAAATTAGCCCCTAGGTTTTCTACTATGTAAGTCATTCTATTCATTCATGATAAGTATATTGAAGTCAGTTTGTGTCAGAATTTAAATTGGAGTGGAATTCTCAGGTTTTTGGCTCTAAGTGGAGTGTTCTGAGCTTCAGAGATAACCGCTTAAAAAGGTAAATAAATAAAAAATGAAATCCAAATTAAATTAAATAATTAATCGCAGAGTTCTTAGGTCGGGATTGATGTTAGTGAGGAAAACTTGCGTAGCGTTTTCAGAGTCAAGTCCTCAGGGTGTCATGTCTGAGTAGGCAGTAGGAAGGAAAGTTTGACCCAAAGCTGTCACACATACATTAAGACTACACAGTCTACAGAGTAATTCCATTAAAAGACAATGAGCCCTGAACTGTGTATATACTGTGCCCTTGGCAGCTTGTCTCTTTCATTATCTCCTTTCTTTTGTTGTTTCGACGATTCAAGAGAATAAGGCTTGTTAAAACATTTAAAAGAGGGTGTCACGCGAAGGGAGAACAACACAGAAACAGCACCAAGAACACCGTGTCTCTGTTGTACATCTCTGGTATATTTAGTGTTTTCATCTTGGAGACTGGTTCCCCCTTTCCTCTGTTTTTCCCTCTTCTTCAATTCGACTGCTGCTGGTCATTGGTCGTCTTTCTCTCGTTCTCGGTCCTAGGAGATGCTGTTGTTGTTCCATCAATGCCAAACAAATATGTGTGGGAGGTGAAGTCCTGCTGCCTGGAGAACAGCACATATTTGTACATGAATTGGAGTGATTTTACAGACAAGTGTTGGCTCAGATGTGTCTTAGACTTCACTTCTAAAGGGCCGTAGCTCAGATTTTTTTTTTTTTTTTTAGTCTGCCATTCATTTTGTTTAATTACTGTTGAATGTGTGCTTAAAGCAAACGTTTTAGCAAGAAAAAGGCATGTTATAAAACCTCAGATTAACAGGAAAAGCAATTAAACTGAAGATAAATGGGAATATTCTTTTTAAAACATTACACAAATTAGCAAAAAAAAAAAAAACATTTAAGGCTAACAAAGAAAAATAGTGTTACTAATTAAGTTAAACTTCCACATTTTGTAAAAGCAGCTAAATGGCGGCCATAAAGATTGGTTACATAATAAACATAAAATAACATTTTCTATTGATAAGTTGTTATATTTTCTTCTAACATTTCCTGAATCGGATATAATGTTTTACGTATTGGATTAATTTCGAGTATTTCCTGCCTAACCTTAACAAAAATTATTTATCATATAAAATGGACCAATACCAGTACCAATAAACGGTTTATTACTTCTCATATTCATACTCGAGTATGAATCTATTACTTCTCATATTCATACTCATACTCGAGTATGAATATGAGAAGCCCAAAAGCTCTCAGGTTTGATAACACCTAGTCCTCAAAGCCTAAGTCTGGGTGGCATCAGGTTGGGCAAGCAAGGGTAATAAAACTCTCAAACTCCCAGTATAGGTTCTCAGTATAGGCAAATACATAAATTGAAATACTGTCAGTTTGTAAAAAAATGGTATCAAGACAATAGTGGTGTGCCATGTATTTCGCACCTCGGCCTTCAATGGCATCATGCCTGAGTAAGTCTACATCTTAATGACATCATTATGGCTATGGAAACCTTCAATACTATTCAGAAATGTAGCACAATGAGCCGTTACATGCTAGATACCTCGAGTATCCTTAACAACACCATTACTGAAGCAACAAACCCACAAAGACAAATTTAGCTACAGCCGTGACACACTATACATCAAAACAACATGTTATGAAAAATGAAAAAAAAAAGACTAAATGCACCAAAACATTTGTTCACAGAATACACCCTTCCTTAAGAAAAGTTCAAGTACTCTGCTGTACAGATGATCAGTGCATCCATGATAATGATGAAAGTAAAGTCTGTCCTGTCGTTTTTATGGCATAAGTTTGAATTCTGAAGTTTGAATTCTGAATTAGGCTGAAAATGTCCACCCGACAGAAGCAGCGGATATGTGCATGTTGCAAGATAAAGTTTGTTAGATTCTAACAAATGCGCGTTCTTTAATTATCCAATCGACTCAAATCGCCATTCATTTTTGTCTGCGGTTACCCAAACTACTGAGACCTTAGGGCAGATTTCTTTCACCCTGGCAACAGATGATGGCAGAAATATAGATAGAAAGATAGATAAATAGATACATGGATGGATGGCTGGATGGACGGACGGACGGACGGACGGACGGATGGATGGATGGATAGATTAAGTTTATTGATCCCAGGCTGGGAAATTACTGTGAACATCCATCCATCCATCAATCAATCCATCAATCAATCATCAACCGCTTATCCGGGGCCGGGTCGCGGGGCCAACAGTCTGAGCAGGGACACCCAGACTTCCCTCTCCCTCGACAC